TCCTTCCTTCCTTCCTTCCTTCCTTCCTTCCTTCCTTCCTTCCTTCCCTCCTTCCTTCCCTCCTTCCTTCCCTCCTTCCTTCCCTCCTTCCCTCCCTGCCTCCCTCCTTCCTTCCTTCCTTCCTTCTTTCAGTTCAAGTGGAGAGTTTCAAACACAGATTAAATGTAGCCATGTCTTAATTTTAAATGGGATTTAGGTATTAAAAAGCTACCATTTCTCACTTCTAAAAATCTGTTCCTATTGTTGTTTTATCTTGAACAGACGGAAGGAAAGATAACACTGACTATAAATAAGCTATTTTAAATGGAATATTTACTTCCTCTTCAGGCTAAATTCTGTGGACAGATAATGTGCAAGTTCACAAGTGAACTCAGTGAGTTTTATAGCTTTTTATATGGGGACAAAATTTTTCTCTATATTCAAATAACTATTTTGCTGTATTTAAAATAAGGAAGGATTAGGATGGCAGGATGATTAGAAAATGAATACACTTGTGTGTTTAACTTTTTGTCAATCTGGAGGTCATAAGATTCAGTGCATGGAGGTCATTCATTTCACAGCACTTTGTAGTAGGTTATGTGGGTCGGTAGTTAGTGCACTGGATTACCCTGCACTTAATCTGACTCTAATTCATAGAAAACACTTCCCTCTCAGTTTGCAAAGCGGTAAGTGATAGTATTACTCCATACACGCATGAAGGTGTTAGAATAGTCGTTGAAAAAATGTTGGGTTAATATTCACAGAAGTGAAATATAATTTAATTCTTTTATAATCAGCGAAATGTGTGATCCTCCAAGCAGAAATATTGTCCCAGGAGAAAATTCTGGTATCTTCATAGTGTCATATAAGAGTAAGACTGAGAGTTGGAAAAGGACCTGAGATCTTCAAAAGCACTTTCAATAGAAGTTAAAGTAACTGTAAAACTTAACAGATATAGGGACTTTTGAAATTCTTGAATTAAGAAATTAATCTTTAACAGCACCACAAATGTAAATAAATGAATGTACACTGATAATGTATTGTTCACAGTTAAGTATTGCACGGATATTTCACCTGTATTCTTCAAATGATCAGAGAGGTCATTTCCCCCTCTCTACCATTTACTCATTCTCTATTTTCCATACAACTTAATTTAAATAGCATTTTCTGCTTTTTCTATACCTCTTCTCTTTCTCGCTCATTTCTCTTTTTTCTTCACTATTTTTCCAATGTCTGCTGAGCTCTCCTTACTTTTCCCACCATCTGGTTAGACAGCTGTTACTGATATTACTGAATGAAAACAGTTGTTCAGAAGCTGATTTTACCTGAGGATCCCTATGGAACAGAAAGTTCTGATGATCAGGACAGGTGAAATGATGCGTGAAACAAATCACAGTGGTTTAGAGAAAACTGATGTGGTACAGAGGTGCTGTACAGGCAACATGGATAGGCCCAGTTGAAGCAGAAATCATATAAAGAAACAAGTTACCAACTACAGTGGGTTGAGCTATTAACTCATTGGTAAATCAAGAGCAGGCTGTGCCCAACATATCAGGTTCACAGCATCTCTGGAGGGATGGGATGAAAAGGAAGTACAACAGAAACACTGACCCAGAACAGAGGAATGGATGTGAAATGAAGCAGTTGCTTCAGCTGCATGACAAGCTAAAGATTCAGAATACCTTTTCAAACAATATGCAGCCTGACTTTGTTTCTGGTTTGTCCTGCTTTTTGACTCCTATAGCAGAATTCTCTCTCCAAAAGGGAGCGAATCCTCATAGCCCTGGATTCCACAAAGTAAACCACATGAATTTTAAGCACAGCCTGCTTAGACTCTGATGTACTTACCCAGATGGGTCATCATGAGGTGAGGATAACAATTCTTATCAGAATGTTTTAATAATTAAGACTGATGTCCAGGATGTATTTAAGTATATGTTTAGCTTTATATCTATTAACCATTCTGGATACTTTCAGATGCAGTCTGTTGTATAAATAGGTTTTATAAGATACAGTCAAACAGACAAAAATCTTATAGAACATCTCACCAGATTCTTCAAATTCACTGTTATATGCATTCCAAGTTTCACTTATGCGGACCAGGTTCTCTTCCATGGCTTGAATGTCCATGTAGGGACAATTGCACTGGGGGAATTTGGGACCACACTGACACCAGCAATCATTGTCCTTGCAGATGAACTCTCCCTCTGAATTGCAGGCAATATAGCTCAGAGCTGCCTGGACAAAATGTTCTTGCAGGTACTCAGGCAGGATGACCTGAAGACCTTAAGGAAATAGAATAAGTATTATGTTATTAAACTCAAAAGAGTACTCAAGCCAAGCAGATTCCCATAGCTATATAAGATGGTTAAAAAATAAAATTAAGTTAAATAAGTTACAAAAAGAAAAAATACATGAAAATTTACACGTCTTTCTGGCATTTGCACTATGTCATGAATTTACTTGTCTAAGAATTAATTTAATATATACATAAGTTGCTCTGAAAGTAATGCCTCCTTTATTTCCATGCTACAAAAAGCACAATAACACTATTTGATAGAGCAAATTCTCAGCTACGAAACACTTTTTGAGCAGTCACCACCATTAGCAATTCATTTTCACCAGCAATGAACAAGAGCCTGCATGCTACATTCACAAAAAAATGTAGCATCTGTACTAGTGGACGCGATTCACTGTTTCACAGCTGCTACCAGTTGCCCAGGCAGCCTACCTTCCATTAGTCTGAACAGACAGAATTAAGAAGGCGTGAAATTCAGACTATACAGTGGATGTGGTTGGACATTCCAGACAAGATTGGCAGTGTGCTACAGTCTTCAAACAAGGCCTGCATGTATCATGTTGCAAGAGAAAGGAAGTCTTTTTCTCTGGCCTCACCTTCGAAGTATCAGCTTTCAGCTTAGTCAGTGTCAGAATGTAGCAGTCTGAGTTAATGATTTCCCTGGGTTCTGATGAATCCAGAATGATCACTTTCCTATCTCAAAAGACAGTGCACATCAATTCCCACTGAGAGCTGTGTCTTGAACTTTTAATTGAATGGGGAATTCACATGCACCACTCCATGAAGTGTCATTATAACTTCAGCTAATAATGGTGATACCAGGTCTCATCACTGCTAATGATGCAATTGAGGAATATGTCATCTTCTGCCTCATATTGGTTCAATAAATCCCAACAAACTTGCATACGGCATTCCTTCTGTTCTGGGACTCAACTAGTGCAAACTTTGTGATATTTCAATGCTGCACCATGGTTTCCAATGTACTGAAACCAATCTTCACCTTTGTACAAAGTTTTTTGGACATAATTCACCAAGTTATGCAGATGAGTTGATTGAGATGCTCTCCATTTTGTGGTGTGACAGCTGTGCTTTACTGCTCAGAGCATGGCTGATCTTTCACGTTGCTGTCACCATTGCTGAACCGCAACACCCACCCCTCATTGTGCTCACATTCACCGTTTGGTCTCCATCAACACTCAGCAAGCATCAGTAAAAGTCAACAGATGCCATTTTTTCTGCATGAGAAATTCAGTTCTACACTTGTACTTCCTATGCATTTCCATGTCTGACCCCTGTCAGACTCCTCTGCTACCACCTGTTTCACAGCCACAAAATATAACAGAATGTTGGTGGAAAGGTTCAGCCTCTACTGCTATACTACCAACATTAGCCTCTGACACTGTGGACCTATAATAATATAGGAGGCATTACTTTTGGAGCACCCGTTATTTGTCTTACACTTCTGTCTTAGTGTGGAACATTCATTCCAATAGCCACTAACCTGTATTCCTCAGATCGTATACTAGTGTATTTCTTTGTGGGGGAATTGTCAAAAGCAGAAATAGTGGATTACATCAACTTCTCCCTGATAGGAGACTGAATGAAGAGCCTCAGCTGTAAGAAGTTTTCACTATGGAAACCTGCAGATAAATCACAGTCCTTATACTAGAAGCTAACATAAATTTTGAGAGTGTTAAAGGGAAATCTGATTTGAAGACAGCAACAGTGGAAGTAAGGAAGCTGTACAAGCAGAAAAAAGATCTGGAGGTAAACATTGGACTTATTTTCCATGTTGGCTTTGACACAAGTAGATACACCTGAAATACAGATATGTTCAAATTACTCTAGTTATTTCTCCATGCTTCTGTAGACCCAGGCTAAGAAGAATTGGTAAATTGAGCTAGAAGGAATTTTAGGAAAATAAAATTAGCCATATATTTCATTTCTAAACATTGACATACAACAGCCTTTTTACCAAGTGTTTTAGAAAAATGTGTGCAATGATTCCATATGAAGTGAAACTATGTCATTTTGTGCAAAATCAAATAAAGAACAGTTTTGCTATTGATTTTTTGAGTGTATGGATTTATAAAGTGGTTTACTCCTATTTCATCTGCCAGTACCTCAAGCAGACCCTGCAGGATGGGACCTGATCAATCACCTACAGAAAGTTCTCTGACTTCAGCATGCATCAGAACCAGCTAAAAGCAGATGTTTTCAAAGAGATGTCTCCTCTCCTAAGGAATTTCAAATTACTATGAGACAGTCTGCTGGATATTCTGGGTAAGTATATAAAATCCTGAGAAAAAGAATTCATTCATTCAAAGAATTCATTTCTACGAAAGGTTTAGCATAGAGAAGGGAAGGATGTTTGTTGATTAAAATTCTTCTGCTGTGTCTCAAATCCCTTTGCAAAGCGTTTTCACACTTTACCATGCCATGAAATGTAGAGGTCTTGCAAAAACATATGTTGTACTGAGGTATCAGAATAAAAAATTTAGAATATTTTTGACCAGAACTTTATTAATCTGAAAACAATTGACCATTCTTTACATGATTTCAATGATGGGAATTTGTAATTTTATATAGAAACTTTGTTAGTTACCTGTAACTATTGGTTCTTTGGCTATAACAATCAACTGATAGGAAAAAAATGAAACAAACCAAAACAAAAAAAACCATGAACAAAACCAACCAGTGATGTACACTGTAAATTTTGATTTGTCAGTTGTGATTACTCTGAAGCAAATAGAATCTCTCTGGAAAAAGTGAAGCTTATTTCTCAGTATATTGGTAGTTTGTGAGATACGTTTGTCTTACACAAGCACTTGAACAATTTCATAGAGATTTATTCCTAAATATTAGGTAAATAAAAATATATCTGTAACAGTAATTTTATAATCTTTCCAGGTAGAAAGCCATATTATAGATGCATGACAATATTATTAAAAGCTGGTCTGTTTGTGCCTTTCTCTGCCTTATATCAAAACGTGTAAAACTCTTGCTACCATAGTATACTTCCTCAATGTACAAATGTATTTTTGAAAAAAACTTAGAATTCTGATAGAAAAAGAAAGCCCAAATAAGCAGCCCTGTCTTGTTCAATTTCTATATGATAAGCATGAAATAGTTGTAGCAGTTGTGCTACTACATTTCTCATGACAATCTAATGGCATGTGTCAAACGGCTCTCTGACTGAAGCAAAGATTAATTTCCAAATTTTAACTGACAAACATCGTGCAAATTCTGGAGACCTTTAAAAACAGTGAATGATTTATGGATACGTTCTATTCACTGCATTGCAGTGAAAAGGACAAGTTCTTTTGAAAAATAAATATATTTTCAATGAAATCATGCCTTTTACACCCTTCCCACCTAATGAAAAGAGAGAGGAAAGGCAAAAAAAAAAAACATGGATGTACTGAACAAGTAATTTTTCCCTAGCAGCCAATCTTAATAATCAGCAACAACTTCACTCTATATGTCCAACTCATGTATAAACCAATATCAGTAACTTTTACAGCTTGAAATAACTGTTTAATTAAGACCCATACTCTTCTGTCCTTGAATGTACAGTTAGGCATAAACATATAAATCATAGAGAATTTAGTCTGTTTTCACAGCAGTAATTGAAAGTTGTTCATGTTGAATTTGTTTAACTGAAAATGAACAAACAGAAATTAAGACAATTACTAGAGGCTCACTTTCAACAATGTTTAGGTGCCTAACATGCAGATATGCACTTACTGCAATTTATTGAAAATGAATCAGAAGTGATACCACTTTACACGTTTTTCTAATGAGTGAGATATCTAACCTTGCAGGTTTTCTTATAAATCCCAAAGGAGCCTTTGCACTTTGCATTACTCAAGGACTTTGCAAATCTATGCCCTGTTCCTTTGGTGAATCTGTTCATTCCAGTGGGACAATGGGTTACTACTCAAAATGTGCAAAGCAGGCTAAGCACAGGAAATGTCATTCCTTGCTTGGTAGAACTTATTGGAATTCGGGCTTTGTGAAAGGTGAGCAAGTCATTGCTAAGTAGAGATGCAAAATGTTAACAGCATTATTCAGATTATTTTCTGATGGGTACAGAAATTTTTTCGATTTGAAAGGCAACATGAGTTATTGACATTTCCTTCACTTTGCCTAAAATGTAGCTATTGCACACACACACACACACACAAAGAAAAGATAATGACCTTTTATGAGGAGGAAAAAAAGAAAAACAAATAGCGTGATGAATGTCATCCTGTTCCAAAACAAATTAATGAAATTACACCTACATACCTTGCAACTGAATCTTATTTTCAGGACTCTGAACCAGAACAGAACTGACAGAATCTAGGTTGTCATAGTTACTGCAGCCAAGAGGACCAGTCCGCGTTTCTGTTACCTGATGGTAAGGGAATGGAAAAGCATTTGCTGCGTTATTCAAAACAGTCTGAAGAGTTCAGAAGCTTGTTTCATAAAATTTCCCTTTAATTCAACTGTCTGTATATTTCAGACTTAATTAAGATGAAATAGATTATTTTATACAAGAAAAGTAAGACTGCAAATGTTTCACCAGTACAACAAACTTTGGAGAGTGCAATTTTGATAGCAGGGCACCACTACCAATATTTTAGCTAATAAACGTGTAATGATGATTTATTTCTTCATAATGTGGAAATCAAAATGAATTTAACAAATACAGTTTATAAAAATGCAGATTAAGATTTTCACTGATGAAAATTGTGCACACAGAATCATGGAATCATAGAATCATAGAATCACAGAATGCCTTGTGTTGGAAGAGACCCCAGGGATCATCAAGTTCCAGCTCCCTTGCCACAGGCAGGGCCACCAAACTCCAGATCTGGTACCACCCCAGTTGGGCATGGAAATTCCTTGTTGAAATCATGGTAAAAAATGGAATTTTTCTGTGTAGCAAAGCAAGATTTAGAAGTAAAACTTTTGATGAGGTGCAACATTTTCCATCTAGGAAAGGTCTAACATAAGGTTAGGTCACATCCTGCCTGTTGTGATCAGGGGTGTAACCATAGGATCAAAATACAGCAATAACTGCCACAAATAGAACATCATTTCAACAGCTGAGGATTGTGCTTGTTAACACAAGTAGTTTGTTAAAAAAGTAAATACATTATTAAGAATAATAGCATCAACAATAATAAAGATAAGTGGTCCACATAATTTATGGATTATGTAGATGGTTCTTGTAGACTTGTAGATTGTCTATGAAACAATTACAAAAGCAGGTTTATTTTTAAATGCTACCCTAAATAAAAACAAGAAAAAAAAAAGAAAAAAAAAAAAGAAAAAAAAAAAAGAAAAAAAGAAAAGGGGCCTAATTCAGTTTCTCAGCAATGAGGTGCTGCCACCTTTGAAGCACTGCTGTGATGCCCAGAGGGCTGGCTGGCAGCAAGGCAGTATCTCAATGATTATTTTAGCCTGTATAAGTAGAAAAATAAAATCCTAAATCCTGAAGACAAGTGGGTACACCACAATCTCACTATTATTCTTTTTTTTTTTTTAAGTGGATTGAACGGTGTTGAAAACTCATGGCTTTTGATTCTTTCTCCTTAGTATCCAGTCCAAGCAGAAAGAGGACAGTAAAAATGAAACAAGCAGAGCTGTAGCAGAAAATGTTGGCCATGGGATATCTTCCCACTTTCCCTTACTGCCAAAATACAACCAATTCCTCCATCATCCACCTCAACAAGCTGCTCCCAGCTACTTTGTTGGAACTTCCTTGCTCTCTTTGCTTTGCCATCCTAGATGTCTTTGGCATTTACCTCTATGTGTTGATTTGTCTCTGACAAGGTGATTCTGTCATCTATTACTTTGAGTATTATATTCTACGCCAAATCTCCTGGAGAATAAGCCTAAGTTCTAAGGTCAAAGAGCTCCTTTCCAAAATATGAACCTCCACCAAGCAGTAGACATCTAGCAATAACGCTTATGAACAGAAGGAATCCTTCTATTTCAATAATCTCATTTGAAAGCAATATGGAGATTTGCTGAAATAATCCATGAAAGTTCATGTTGCTTAGGATCACCTGGTGCTCTTACACCAGCACATGTGAATGGCTGCAACTGGATCATGATATCTTCACATTGTTTTGTATTTTCCAAGTCCTAACATTTTCACAAAGTAATGTGAAATCTTGGGCTATTCACTGGCACCTTTCTGTCACTTTGAACAAGTGTTCCTGGCAATGGAAAATGAGATCCTCTGCAATGCCAGCAGCCTGTGGAGAGAACACACAGAACTGGCTTCAGCCAAATCTCTTAGCAGAGTGCCAACAGTGCAAGGAAATGAGATCAAGTCAGGATCTCTCTTCCCTGCACACATTTGGCAGTTTTCAGTATTTATACCGGGGCCAGATTTACCTTGTTTTTTGCTTAATCATCTAGAATCAGTGTAAAGATTCTTGCATGGCTATCAGATTTGGCTAGGAAGTGGGCAGAATGACAATTTACCCACAATCCTCAAGTTTCCTCCTTCTCCCAAAAGTGATTAAAAATTCCTTTATAAAATCTTATTTTTTGTTGCATACCCACTTCACATAAGAAATCCTTATTAATTCATATAACAATAAAGACAGGCGTGTACATTAAACAAGATAAATAGCCAGAAGACAGAAAAAAAGGGATGATGGTTGTTATGAATTTTGTCCTAGTTCTGAAAGACTCTACTCAGCATATATGCATGAAATTCTATCTACAAAGACCCATTTTTTTATATATTCTATTATAATTTTCAACCATCTGTCTATAAAGCAATCCAACTTCATAAATCCCTATGAAATGGAAGACCTACAGAAACAATTCTTATTCATTCTTTTATTCTTACGGCTCTTGACATCACAATATAAAGAAGATTAGTGTCTGTGTAATTATGGTGTGCCATTTTGTTCATGAAGGTTTATTCTTCACTTGGATGATGCAAGACACAGGTAGTGATAACTGTTGTTTTGATTATGGGAGTGACAGCATGTGGTGTATGTAGGTGTGCACAGAAGCGGAATGGGAAAGAGTTTATCCATAAGCTGCTTTTAATTATATTTTTTTTCTAAGGACCAGTCATACAAAATCACTTAAGAAAGTTACTCCCAAATGTGATACTTCTGTCTTGATCCAGCTGTTAATAAAATTACTGACAATTTTTCATGTTTTGTCTGTGATAGAAAAAAAACTGCAATGATAGAAGCAACACTGGAAAGGAAATGGCACTTCTTTAATTATCTTCCAAACACAGAAGTATGGCTATATTCAGCCTCAAGATCACAGTTGAAGTGTTTTGTCTGAAGGCGTATAATAAAAAATAAGGCAAAAACAGGAGAGGGCATGTTAAAATGTAAATGCAAAGAATTTTTTAAGATGCAAGCATAGTCCAGAAGTGATTGCAGATGAAAAAAGAGCACTGTAATCACTTGTTTCATAAGAACTAGACCCATAGTCTGTGAAGAACACTAAATCACAAAGCAAAATACAACAGACCAAAGTTATTTAACAACTAAAAGCCCATAAGAACCAGTAAACAAAATATGTGTAAAACCATTTGACAGAAACCAAGCAGGCTATTCTCAAGTGCATTGTTTTCAAAAATTATCACAGCACAGGTTTCCCTGGGCAGCAGGGCTTTCAGTTCCCAGAAATAAGCCGTAACATTTGGTATTAATGAGGAAAATGCCTACAGTTTTCAGTCAGTTAAAAACTCATAACCATGGTGATAATGACCCGATTACAAGTGCACAGAGAACATACCTCCCAGCACTTAAGCAGAGCTGAATTCTTGTGATATCAGTGGGTAGTATTTCCCTGGGAAACTGTACTTTTTTTTGTCCGCAATAATTAAGCCTATAGAAGGCTTTCCTAATAAAAAAGGAACACATTTCTGCAGAGATTTTGGTCCTGGTGGGTCCTTTCTGTTGCACATAGCTAATATGCCTAGCTACATGCCCAGGCAGAGACAGTGCACTGTCTTGCATAAAGGACTGTCCTCTTTACGAAGATTCTTTGAAAATGTACTTGGCTTCTAAGGAAGACAACTAAGCCAGCATAAAGGAGAATGAGACAATGCTAGGAAAATCAAAACAGAAAGCTGTATTCATATTCCTATTGCCAACTCTAAACATTAAAATAGTGAATTAGAAGAAATTCCTTGTATATGAGTGACGTTAGTGACGGAAGAAGTTCTCTTCTGAATGACTCGTGCAATAGAAGGATGAACAAAGTTGTGCAGGGCAAATCCAAAGCAAATACTGGAGTGGCTTGATATTTTGGAGGATTGTCTGAGGAAGAGGAAAAACTGTACTTCTCATTCAATATAGCTAAGGAACCATTAGGTAAAGCCAGATCCTGCCATTATTGTTCACACTAAGTCCTTTCATCCATAAATCATCCAGTGGGATAAATTGCATAGTAACAGTATTTGGCAGTTCCACAAATAATAGAACTCCCTAGAGTAATTACACATTATCAGTAATCAGATGTAAGAGTCAACTGGAACACAACATCTTCGAGTAGTGCTGCAAGGGGCATGGTTCATCTCATGATGGTAGGCAGATGTCTATAAAGGGTGAATCACACCTCTGGGCTACAAAACCTAGTGCATATGTGGCCTTGATATTGAATAGAAGGGTCACAAATGCTGTCTATCTCCCCCATCCCTCCCCCACGGGCTGCAGGCAGCTTCTGCTCTGTGCATGGAGAACCTTCTACCATCTCCTCCACAATGAAAACCTCTGCCATGTAAGCTCAAGCAACTTTTTTTTTTTTTTTTTTTCTCCCTAGATTCTGCAATTTTTTTCACAAAAGCACTTTTCTTTCAGCACCTTCTTTTAGCAGAGAATAATTGCTACAGTTACCGTTCTGTTGCCCTTTGTGTGTCATTGAGCATAGTAGGGCTTCCACTAATTAGTGTATAATTGAAATAACACAAATCATCTGAATGTTCCAAGTACTGACGCTTGTCATGCTAGCAGCTAGATGAACATTTAAGAGAGGCTTAGATAAACCAACAGAAAACACAATGTCAGAATTTGGAATAATGTTTCAGGAGGGGAAGCATTTATGTATTTATTTCAGATTTGCCAACATTCTAAAGCCGTATCCGATAGGCATATAATATTTTCTGCACATTTTCTTTTAGCATTGTCCATACTGTTAGTATAGGTCTGACTTTTTCATTCAAAGAGCCCACTAACTCAGATGACCTGGAATGTCTCTTATCTTATATTTATCTCAGAGACAGTAAACTTAATCTGCCAGCAAATGAAATAAGTTGCACAAATTTCATTAACCAGGCAAAGTGGAATAAGGACTTGCAGGTTTTTATACAAGACGGTGGTTTTTTTTAAGGCTAACTATCTAGTTTCATCTGATAGGAAG